CCGCTCCTGGCCACTGCAGCCTCGACCTGCTGGGCTCCGGCCATCCTCCCACCTCAGCCCTTCTGAGTTGCTGGAACTATAGGCATGCGATACCACGCCCGGCTAATTTTTTGATTTATTGTAGAGACGAGGTCTTGTCAAGTTGCCCAGGTGAATCTCGAACCCATGGGCTCAGACAATCCACTCACCTCAGCCTCCCAAAGCACGAGATTATGGGCTGAGCCCGGCTAATGTGTATCTTTTAACTGGATGTTTAGACCATTTATATTTGATATAGTTACTAAACAACTGGTGTTCTTCCTTCTTTTCTTTTTCCTGCATGCTTTTGATTCTTTCTTTTGCTGTGTACATCTCTTATGACCCCTTCAGATACAATTTTTATTTTGATATTTTGATTTTTATTAGAATTTCTACTTGATTCTTAGAGTTTCCATCTCTCTGCTGAAATTCTTAATTTGCTCATTCATGTTGCCCACCTTTTGTACTAGATTGTCTAGCATATCAGTCATTGTCTGACAATTCTACCATCTCTGAGTCTGGTTCTCTTGATTGTTTTGCTTCTTTTTTTTTTTTTTTTTTTTTAGTTGGAGTCTCACTCCTTTGCCCAGGCTGGGGTGCAGTGGCACGCATGCTCACAACCACCCCAGAGTCGACCTTCTGGGCTCCAGCGATCCTTCTGCCTCAGCCTTCCGAGTAGCCGGAATAACAGACCCATACTACCATGCACCACTATTTTAAAAAAATTTTGTTGTGGAGAGAGGTCTCGCCAAGTTGCCCAGACTGGTCTTGAACCCTCAGGCTCAGGCAATCCACTAGCCTTGGCCTCCCAAAGTGCTGGGATTACAGGTGGAGCTACTGAGGTCGGCTGCTTTGCCTCTTTATGGTTGGTTCTTATGCTTTTTTGTTTCGTTATTTATGATTGAATGTCATACATATTATATAGAAAAGAGACTGAGGTAAATAGTATTTATACTTGAAAGTGGACATTACTTATCTTACAGAGATATTTATCTATGTGTGTCATATGTAAGGATTGCCCTTTCTTGGATTTCGGGTTTCTTGAAGAATAGTTGTGATTTTATAGTTTATTCAACTTTTACTCACTGTTAGTGTGGTAGTGGGCATTCTTTACAGCTTTTACATCATAGACAGCAAAATTTCTCCAATTTGTACTTTTAAAAATAAAAATATATTTTATTTCTATATTTGGATTTATTTCCAATTTTGAGCACTAGCCATTAATTTTTGTGTACTTTGTCTAAGAAGGACATATGTTTTCAATGTAGTAAAAATTAATTGCATGTAAACTTCCATATTTTTAGTCTACTAATCTGAATTTTTCAACAGAGAATTATTTGTTGGGGGTACTTAACAAGGGTTCATTGTAGGGAATATTCCTGTGGATATGAATCCCAGAAAAGTACTTGTCCACTCAAAATATAAGTTGAGTATATTCAGATATTAAAGTTGTATCTTAAACTGATGGCATTGAGATGTGTAATTATTGTATTAGGCATCACCCATGCTTTGCAAACTCAAAGGAAATATAAATAAAGGGCATCTGTTCTAACCTTATTAAAGCATCTCGGGTGCTCTTAGGGACTTTCTTTAGCTTCTGTGATCCTGCTGATTCTCAAGACTTTTCAGGCTAATATGATGGAGGCTCTTTGGGTGATGATAGCCTTCGTTTTCATGTCCTTGAGCTACTTTTCTATTCCTTATCCATAAAGCTAAAATAACTTGTATATTCAGTGTGTGTGTCAAGCTGTGTGTGTGCTTCCAGAGCAGCCAGCGGTGCTGTACCATCCCATTACAGTATTTGGAACTTTTATCATGTTTTCTTTTCTTTTCTTTTTTTTTGAGTTGGAGTCTCACTCTGTCACCCAGGCTGGAGTGCAGTGACACACTCACGGCTACCCCAGCATCGACCTCTTAGACTCCGGCGATCCATCTGCCTCAGCCTTCCAAGTAGCTGGAACTACAGGCATGTGCTACCACATGTGGCTAATTTTTTTATTTATTGTAGAGACGCGGTCTCGCCAAGCTGCTTGAGCTGGTGTCAAACCTGTGGACTCAGGCAATCCACTCACCTCGGCTTCCCAAAGTGCTGGGATTACAGGCTGAGCCACTGAGCCCGGCCATTCATCGTGTTTTCCAGGGGTCAGCGACTTTTCCAAATAGATTAAAAAGTACTGCTATAAATTCTGTAGCACATATAATCATATAAAATGGTCCCTGCTCTTAAGAATCTTGAAATTGTGTTGATCTTTCTCCTGTCTATGACATATGAAGAGGGGAACAGGATGGTGTGGTGGAGGAGAGTGTAGTCTCCACAGTCAAACTGGATTTGAATCTTGTTTCACCACTTTCTAGCTTTGTGATCTTGGTAAGCAGTAGTACTTTATTTCTCAGTGTTTACTTTTAGGTTTAAATTAGAAAATGCGTATAAACTACTTAGCAGAGTTTCATTTATCAGCTGTGCTAGATGATGATAATGATAAAAATAACAGCTAGCTATGTGACCAGAAGTGATTACCAAATTTACTTATTTTTTTAATTAAAAAAAAGCTTTGTTGTGGTTGAATATACATAACATAAAATTTGCTATTTTAACTATTTTAAGTATACAATTCAATGATATAAAATACATTCATTATGTTATACAACCATTACCACTATTCTTTTCTTTTCTTTTCTTTTTTTTTGAGTTGGAGTCTCACTCTGTTACCCAGGTTGGAGTGCAGTGGCACACTCACAACCACCCCAGCATCAACCTGCTGGGCTCCAGCGAGCCTTCCGTCTCAGCCTTCCAAGTAGCCGGAACTACAGGCATGCGCTACCATGCCTGGCAATTTTTTTTTTTTTGTAGAGACCAGGTCTCACCAAGTTGCCTGGGCTGGTCTCAAACCCGCCAGCTCAGAGAATCCTCTTGCTTCGGCCTTCCCAAGTGCTGGGATTACAGGCTGAACTACTGAGCCCAGCCCGCCACTATTCATCTCACAACATTTTCATAATCTCAAACAGAAATTCCGTATCCATTAAAGCAATAACTCTTCATTACCTCTTTTCTCCCAGCCCCTGGTAGCCTCTATTTCACTTTATGTATGAATTTGCCTCTTCTAGGTAACTCATATAAGTGGAATCATATGAGATTTGTCCTTCTGTGTTCGGTTTATTTCACTTAGTATACTTTTTAATATTTTTTATTTATCCATTAAGCACAATGCTACTTGTTTTTTCTACTTGTTTAAAGTCAAATGAGATAGTTAAAACCTAATAGGTACTGTATAAATTTAAGGTGGTATACATAAAACCCTGTAAATATTACCTGAAAGCAATGAACTTGAATTCATTTGTTGTCTATCTGTGATTGCAAATGAGTTTACTTTACTTATTATTTAAAAAATTATTTCTGTTACACTGAAATACTAGGGGTATTCTAAAATTCAAAATAAGGTGATAGCATCATCTTGTAAGGCAAATATTTGCTTTAAGTGACCACTTGTGAGATGTTTATTAAAGTCATTTTAAATTTTGATTCAGCATTCGATATATTTCATTTGACTGTTACTGTTGCATTTCCTTCTATTTTTAGGATTCTAATTCTCAGGTGGATTTAAGTATTCAGGTAACTGATGATGATATTAATGAAATAATTCAAATAGATGGAACTGGTGATACACCCTTTGACAAAGAAATAGGAAATACAAGAGATTCAGATAAGAATGAATGTTTAGGGATTATTGATGCGGGAGATCTAAAGGTACTTGAAGAAGAAGCTGACAGCATATCAAACGAAGATTCAACTGCCAACAATAGTGATAATGACCCTGAAATAGACATTGTGGAAGAGGTGAGGATCACTTTTGTGCTAAAACTGCATTAATTTATAACATTTGTTCTTTAGCATAGTTTGGAAACTAACAAATAACAAGATTAACTCTATCTATAGTCTTTTAAAATGAGACTTATTTATATGTTGAGATTCAAGTTTTTAATCTTGAACTGTGGCTTATACCAGTATTAAATATTTAGGAATTGGTTTCTATATGTGTTGATCTTAACTAGAGGTAGCAGGAAATCTAGGGGATGGGAGCAGAAGTTAAAGAAGGTACCCTGGATAGAAGTATATAGTATCTGCTCTAATTCTACCAAATGTAGTAAAATCTGATTGGTGTGGGGGTAATTAAAAAGTGTGTAAGTAGAATTAGCTATCATTTATGGTAGCTTTACATCTGTGGCAGTTATCAGACTAAGTTTTGCCTGCCTTATCGTATTAATAGTCTCAGTGTCCTATGGGTTTTATTTCTTTTTTTTTAATTATAAAGATGTGGGGTACAATTCAGGGTAAGTTACACAAACTTTGATTATGCAGTTACCCTTGTTGATGAGGTATGCCCCTCCCTCCCCTAGCAGTTTCCCTCAACTGCCAGTCCCACCCCCTATTCCCTGACAGTTTCCCACTACTACCAATCCCTTTCTTGCAATATTATAATTGTTCAAGATCCACTTATGAGTGAGAACATATGATACTCTGTTCTTTGTTTCTGTGATAGATTACTGAGTATGATTGACTCTAAATCCATCCAAGTTGCTGTGAAGTCCATATGTTTGTCCTTCTTTATGGCTGCATAATATTCCATTGTGTATATGTACCGCATTTTTTTATCCAGGCCAGCTTCGATGGGCAACATGGTTGGTTCTATGTTTTTACTGTTGTGAATAGAGCTGCAACAAACATACGTGTGCAGGTATCTTTATCTTTTTTGTAGGCTGAATTGCATTCCTCTGGGTATATTCCCAATAGCGGAATTGCTGGGTCATATGGAAGGTCAATTTCTAGTTCTTTCAGAAATCACCACATTGTCTTCCAAAGAGGTTGCACTAGTTTGCATTCCCACCAGCAGTGTAGAAGCATTCCTTTTTCTCTGCATCCTTGCCAGTATCTGTTGCTGTTTGTTTTATTAATGATGGCCATTCTTATTGGGTTTAGATGGTATCTCAATGTGGTTTTGATTTGCATTTCTCTGATGATAAGTGAAGCTGAGCACTTTTTCATGTTTCTGTTGGCTGCCTGTATATCTTCTTTTGATAAGTTCTATTCATGTCTTTTGCCCACTTTTTAAATGGGGCTGATTGCTTTTTTCCTTTTAGCACATTCGAGTTCCTTGTAGATCCTAGATGTTAGGCCTTTGTCAGATATATACTTGGCAAATATTTTTTCCCATTCTGTGGTCTGTCTCCCTGCTTTCTTGTTGATTTCTTTTGCTTTGGAGAAGCTTGTTAGTTTGATGAGGTTCCACTAGTCTATCTTATTTCTTAAGGTATGGGCATTTAGGATTCTGAATTGGAATTGGTTGCCAGTTCCAATTTCCATAAGGGTGTCTCCTGCATTTTCTAAGATTCTTATAGTTTGAGGTTTTACATTTAGGTCTTTGATCCATTTAGAGTTAATTTTTGTGTATGGTGATAGGTAGGGGTCCTGTTTCAATCTTCTGCATGTGATCAGCCAGTTTTCCCAGCACTATTTACTGAATAGGTTCGCCTCTCCCCAGTGGTTGTTGTTGGAGGCTTTGTCAAAGATAAGTTGGTTAGAAAATTGAGGCTTTGCTTCTGGAGTCTCTATCCTGTTCCATGGGTCTATATGTCTGTTCTTGTACCAATACCAGGCTGTTTTGATTACTGTTGCCTTATAGTAAAGTTTCAAGTCTGGAAGTGTGATACCTCCTGCTTTGTTTCTTTTGCTAAAGATTGTTTTGGCTATTTGTGATCGTTTATGTTTCCATACAAATTTCTATATTGTCATTTCCAGGTCTGAGAAGAATGATGTTGGTAACTTAATGGGTATTGTATTGAATCTGTAGATTGCCTTTGGTAGGATGGGTATTTTAACAATGTTGATTCTTCCTATCCATGAGCATGGTATATTTTTCCATTTGTTTGTGTCTTCTTGGATTTCTTTGAGCAGTGTTTTGTAGTTCTCATTGTGAAGTTCTTTCACTTCTCTGGTTAGGAAGATGCTGAGGTATTTCATTTTTATTGTGGCTATTGTGAATGGGATTATGCTTTTAATTTGGGTTTCTGCCTGCTTGTTGTTGGTGTATAGGAATGTGACTGTCTTTTGCACATTTACTTTGTACCCTGAGACTTTGCCAAAGTCCTTTATCAGTGCCAGCAGGTTTTTGACAGACTCTCTAGGATTTTTAAGGTATAGGATCATATTGTCAGCAAAGATGGATAACTTGATTTCCTCTTTTCCTATTTGGATACCCCAGATTTCTTTCTCTTGTCTAATTGCCCTAGCTAGGACTTCCAACACAATGTTGAACAAGAGGGGTGAGAGGGGGCCACCTTGTCTTGTTCCAGTTTTCAGGGGAAATGTTTCCAGTTTCTATTTAGCTATGTTAGCTGCGGGTTTATTGTAAATGGCACTTACTATTTTGAGGTATGTTCCTTCTATAACTAGGTGTTTGAGGGTTTTTATCAAGAAGAAATGCTAGATTTTATCAAAAGCTTTTCTGCATCTAATGATATAATCATGTGGCTCTTGTTTTTACATCTGTTGATGTATTTAATTACATTTATACAGATTAATTCTGCTTTCCATGCTTGTCATCTTGTTATATTTCCTGGATGAAATTTTTTATTGCCAAAATCTCTTTTACAAGTTCTTTCAGTGTTGCCTTTTGTCTTTCTTGAGTCTTATTCACTCTTTCCATCCATTTCCTAATTTCTGTCATATTCTGGGGCCAGTCGGTGGTGACTTCCATTGTTTGGGCAACAAGTTCTGATTTTTCAGGAGTTTTGTCTTTGATACACTTGAAATTACCTGTGGTCTTCCTTTGACCTTTTCTCATTTGTGATAGATCTTTTGTTTCCCTTTAGTTCTATTATTCAGTGTCAGTGGGAGAGGCTTTCCCTTCTGATGTTTGATCAATTCTCTATTCTTCCCTGATCTGGGCTCTGGATTTGTTCTATTTTGAAATAGGATGGTGAATGGGAAGCTTTGTTGTCTCTTGTAGTTTTTGAAATTTGAATAAAGTAGGGGATGGGATGCTAGGATTCAGAAACTACTTGCAAATTACAATGTTTGCTGATTGTGGTACGTGTTCCCTGAGACCCACTCCCCATCACCACTCTATATGACGATGCAAAGCAGAGAGCAATGCAAAAAACAATTGAACACACACACACCCCAAAACAAACTGGAATAACAACAAGGTGAAACAAAACAGACAACAACAAAAACTAAGAAAACTAAACACACACACACATGCCTAGCACAAAGTGAATAGAGAAGAAAAACCAGAAAGACCAGGAAAAAAAGGAATTTCAGATCGAACCCTCACACATATATTACATATATTGATATACATCTTAAACTATAAAAAGTTAAAATAACCCCAGAAGAACAAAAGAGTAAAAACAAACCAACAACAACAACAAAATTGAAAGATGAACACTCAATCATTCACATACACACATAAACAGAAACAGGAAAAGAAAAGAAAAAATTTGGGGGGAATGCAGATCAAACCTTCACATACACATTCATGCACAAAGGAAAAATATTTTAAAAATAGGTGAACTAACAGTCAACAAAATTTTAAAAATTAAAAACAACAACAACAAAAAAACACCTGCCTTCCTGTGGCAGGCTCTGTAATTGTTCCTGTAATCAGGTCTCTCCTGCAGAGCCACCTCTTTCCCTCCTCAGTGTCTGGAGCAGGGAAGGAGGAGGGGCAGTGGAGGTGGGTGGGGCTGCAGTCCTCCCCTCCCACTCCGGTATGGTCAGGGAGATTTCCTCCAGTGGGGAAGGTGCAGGATTGTCTGTACATACTGTGGTGAGGTATGTATTTGTGGGCGGTACCCCAGTCAGGCCTATTCTGAAATGGAGTTCTCCTATTAAGACAGACATTCAGGCTCCTCCTGGGTTTGTCCCTCTCAGTCATGGCCCAGCTGTGTGGGTCTAACATTCAGAAGATTGCTGGGAAGGAGGGGATTTGGGTCAGCCCGGGACTCACCACTGATCTCTTTGAAGTCCTTCATCCTTTTCTGGTCACACCCTTTGTCTTGTGGCTGGATCAGGGTAAGGGTTGGAGTGCCTGGAACTTGGCCCTCAGCAGGTTCCTCCAAAGTTTGTGCTTTCAGGATATTCCTTCAGGGTCACGATCAATCCCTGTGTAGTTGATCCACTAGTTACAGAGATCGGATCTGTTGCTCCGTGGTGAGCAAGTCAGAGCACTTTTCTGCCCCGCCTTCAAGATGGCAGTGGGGTGCTTCTCTTGTCCTTTTCTGTGGAACTTTGCCTCTATACTCCCTCCACAGTCTCTGCGACTAGTGCCCTGCCAGATGCTGATGTGGTGAGGCAAAGCTTGGAGCCGGCAGTCTCTCCTGTTACAATGGTGAGGCAGAGCCTGGGGCAATGGGCTCTCTCCGCTGCTTTTTCATGGGAAAACTTTTGTCCATTAAAAAAAAATGGTGTTTGACTTCTGTGACCTGGGAAGAGCCAGGGACAAGCAGAGAAGCTACAGCACCAGCTATTGCACCAGGGGTCTGGCCACTTGCTCATGAGCCCCCACTTAGACAGTCTCTCCTAGCATTTTCTTCCCAGGAAGGGTTTTGTTGATTTTTTTAAAAATGGCACTCAGCTTTTGCGTCCCAGGAATCAGTAGGGTCCAAGCCCAGCAGCTGTGGCACCAGGAGAGCCCTGGCTGTTAGCTCCCTAGCCTTCACTCAGTCAGTCACTCACATGTCCACTTGCTCACAGCACATACACAAAATTTTCCATACTCCTCACTCACTCATACCAGGACTTGCATAGTCCGACAGGCTTGGTCGCCATCTTCCCGTCCAAGCCCCCTGGGTCTTATATCTATCCTCATTTTACAGATGAGAAAACTGAGATATGGGAGTTTTAGTAACTTGCCCAAGGTCAGTCATGTAATTATTAAGTGGCCAGGCTGGGATCCAAACCCAGGCTATTTGACTTTTAAGTACAATTCTTCTGATGCTCCAAGTTCCTTTATTTCTATATGTCTCTCTATCTTTAAAAAAATTTGAAGCATCATGAAATTTCTTAATGTGATCATCTTTCATCTTTAGGACCCTTTAAATTCTGGAGATGATGTCAGTGAACAGGATGTGCCAGACCTGTTTGACACGGAAAATGTAATTGTCTGTCAGTATGATAAGGTACTATATTCACCCTTTGGACTTTGGGTTTATTAACTGCATTTATAGTAGAAAGGTATGTAGAATGATGAAAAATCTGGTGGTGAGTTATGGTTAAATTCATATCGAAACAGCAATTTAATTCTGAAAGTTTTGAGTGTGTATTTTGGGTCTAGCATTGTGTGATGTCTCAGTGATACTAAAAAAGTGATAGTCCTTGTCTTAAGGAAGTGACAGTCCTGTTGAAACAAGATGTTACTTATGGAATGCTGGAGTGACATACGGTAAGATGGCAGGTAAATCAACAGCTAAAATATGTGACAAGTAATCCAAATGCAAAAATACATGGGATGTAAATCAAATGCTAAGATGAATGGCACATAAATCAAATGCTAAGATATGTAAGAAAGATAGTAAGTCCTAAAAGTGGCTAGGAAATACAAGAAATCATCTGTAGTTGGAATTCTTTACAAATCCTTCATGGATGAGGTGGGGCTTTGAAATGGGCCTTGAATGATTTGTAGGATATAAGTAAGTATGGGGAGTAGGCATTCAGAGTAGAATAGCCTAAAAAAGGCTGAGAAATGAATGGATGTAGTATGTACAAGGGACAGTGAAAAGACAGTGCTGGCTTGAACAAATTGTTCTTTTTACAAAATGTACACTACTAGGAAACGAAGCTGGGTTGGGGGACAGAGTAGGGAGCAAATTGGAATATCCTGAAGACTAGTAGGAAAAATCCAAACTTGATCTGAAGGACATGAGCCTTCTGAGAAGGTTATTATGAAATTTGTAATTGAATTTAAAATCTGGTTGTGCTTAATTTGGAAAGAGTAAATGATAATAAAAACAGAGGTAGGGCAGACCTGAAGTAACCAGAACCCAGTCTGAGGATGGCAGTGTACGAACATGAAAAAGTCAGAGGTTATGATGGAAGAATCAGTGAGACCTGGGATTAGTCGAAGGTGTCGATCAAATTTCAAGCCTAGAGATGAAGTTAGTAATTTAACTTTAGCAACTAAAAAATAATACTGCTTTTTAAAAAACACTAAAGCTGTTATTATGTGGTGCAATAGGAAGTTTCTGTCAATTCATGAATATTTACATTAAAAATATCTTTGAGATATAATTAACATACTATGTAACTCACCTAAGGTGTCCAATTGAATGGTTTTTTGTATGTTCATGAATATGTGCAACCATTATCACAGTCAATTTATAACCTTTTCATCACTTCAAAAAGAAACCTCATACCCTTTAGTTTTCACCACAGTATTTCTCCATTTCTCCTACCCCAAATCCCTAGGCCTAGGGAAACACTCATCTACTTTCTGAATTTCTATATTTTGGGGTGTCATATGAAATGAATCATATAAAATGTGGTCTTTTGCTTCTGGCTTTTTTCACTTAGCACAATATTTTCAAGATTCATCCATGTTATAACATGTATCAGGGCTTTGTTTTTATTGCTGAATAATAACTCTTGAATAGATATACTACATTATATTTTTCCATTTGTCTGTTGATGGACATTTGGGTTGTTTCCACTGTAGGGGAGAAAAGTAGTGTCTTTTTCTCACCCATTGCTAGTTCCATTGCTGAGGCAATAAGGACAGATTAACAAGAGAAAAGCATATAAATGTATTTAATATATGTTTTGCTGACACAGGAAACTGTAGAAATAAAGACTCAAAGAAACAGGGAAAACTGTGTTTTCTGAACAGCCATTTCAAAGTATGATTGCAGGAAAAATAGGGTCTAATCTAATGATAATAAGCTGGGAGGAACTAGTAAGGCCTTTTGTTCAGATTCTTTTCTGTGTCCCTATGTCTTCAGAGATAACATTTCTTTCCTTTGGACATAGAATAGTCACCTCTGAAATAAAGATTTTATGACTTACTTTAGAGAAATGTCAGAGAGATCTTTTATGGCCTGCTTAAGGGGAGAAGGGTGAGGGGAAGATCTGAATGACTTTCCTGCTTTTGCTGGTTTTTCAAATATCAAGGTGCCATATTTTGGGGTAGTGTGTCTTGAACCCCATTACCACCTTTTGACTGTGAAGAATAATGCTGCTGTGAACATCTGTGTACAATTTTTTGTGTGGTCATATGTTTTCATCTGTCTTGGTATATACTCAGATGAATTCCTGGGTCATATGGAAATAGATTAAGAAACTACCAGACTGTTTCCAAAATGGCTATATTATTTTGCATTCTTACCAGCAGTGTTTGAGGGTTTCAATTTCTCCACATCCTTGCCAACACTTGTTATCTGACTTTCTGATTCTTGTCAATCTAATGGGTGTGACATGGTATTTCATAGTAGTTTTGATTTGGTTTCCCTGATGACTAATGCTTATTTATATCTTTGGCCTTTTTTTCAGTCACAATTTGAATATAATTGGGAGAAATTAAGAATAGTGTTTTGAATTGCTGTAAAAATAAATCTTTTTCTCTAAAAATGAAATCACTTTCTCACCTATAACATTTTATGTAGATAGAAAATGGCAATGCAGATGCTAGTAAATATAATTGCAAGAAGGAATAATGGATATAAAAAGGACAGTTGTTAGTTTGAAATTTATTTTAGTTTCTTATAAACAGTGTATTGTCTTCTATGAAGAAAACATTATAAGGCACTTAATTATATATGCATTTCATAAAGCCTCACAAAGACTTTTCTAGACCATTATGGGTATAGTATTCTTTGTTGGCTGCATTGTAGGAGACAATTTGTTAATTAATTACGTAGTGTTTTGTATTTTTTCAAAATGCTTTTTCATACATTGTCTTTTGCTTCTTAAAATTATCTTATGGAATAGATAGAAGTGACATTAATTATATAGTGCTAACATCTAGTATCTAAGAGTACTCCAAAATTAGTGAGTATTTTCAAAAAAATACTTAAAAAAGTTAATGGAAATCAGGGCATTGGAACTGTTGAGACCTTTTTAAAGGGAGTAATGAAGTCAGAAGATAGCTAGCAAAAAGAATGTATCTATAAGGTTAAAGGGGTGGGAAACATTTATAGTGACTATTTATTAATTTGTTTTTAATTTTTATTTTTGAATCGTGGTCTCACTCTGCTGCCCAGGCTGGAGTGCAGTGGCATGATTATGGTTCACTGCAACCTTGATCTCCTGGGTTTGGGCATTTCTGCTGCCTTGGCCTCCCATGTAGCTGGGACTACAGGTGTGTGCCACCATGCCTGACTAATTTTTTGATTTTTTTTGTTGAGACAAGATGTCACTAGGTTGCCCAGGCTATTCTTGAACTCCTAGGGCCAAACAATCCTCCCACCTCAGCCCCCCGAAGTGCTGGGATTATGGGTGTGAACCACTGTGCCCAGCTTATATTGACTGTTGAGATGGAATCTTACTCTGTCGCCCAGGCTGGAGTGCAGTGGAATGGGGCTCAAAACCACCACAGTCTCAGTCATTGTTTGATTTGTTTAAAACAGTATTGAATGTAACCAAACACAAGTAAATTAAAAGAACTTTCAACAGACCTTTTAGAACTTTACTATTTAGTGTGTTTTAAAGGAAAGTAGTATCAGTTCCCCTGGGAGAGTGTTGCAAATGCAGACTCTTGTGTCCCCTTAATAGTACTGGATAAGAATGTGCATTTTATTTTTATTTTATTTTATTTTGAGTTGGAGTCTCACTCTGTCACCCAGACTGGAGTGCAGTGGCCACTTCCGGCCTCTGCATCCTCGACCTGCTGGGCTCCGACTATCCTTCCGTCTCAGCCTTCCAAGTAACTGGAACTACGGGCGCGTGCTACCACACCCAGCTAATTTTTGATTTTATTGTAGAGATGAGGTCTCACCAAGTTGAGAATGTGCATTTTAACAAGACACTCAAGTGATGTAAACTTTTAGAAGGACTATTTGTTTTTTTTAGTAAATTTTAGTTGGGTTTGGTTAGCAGGTGGAATTTACCTTTAAAACGTATAGGTTAAAAATTGGGAAAACTTTGAAAATATTAACATGTACAATATAAAAGGGCTAAATAAAGGTCACTAGTTTATATACTGGACAAGAATTAGTTAAATGGTATAGACATGTTGTTTCAGAGGACTATAGAATGTTTAAAATTAATAAAAAAATTGAAGTAATAGATATTAGAGGAAAAATTAATGGTGAGATGAAACCTGTTACTATAGATGGGAGCGTTCTCTACTATAACTAGGACACTACTTATTATGGAATGTAAAACCACTGAACTATCTTGGACAGTTTAGCTTACTTGCTTATAGCTAACTTTGTCCCTAAGTTGCTCGTACAATGATTAATAGCTAGTGTGTCGTGTAGTCTCTTTCTCTCTGCATATATGTTTTCTTTTTGAATAGATAGGCCCTAACCCTACCTCTACCACTAACCCTAACCCTACCCCTGCCCCAAACCCTAACCATGACCAAAAAAATAAAACACTCCAAAAAAATACACAGTGAAAAGTCTAGTTCCACCTCATTACCATTTGTGCTTTCTACAGATAGCTCTTTGTTCCTGTCTTGAGTGCAAATAAGTAACTATTTATATTGGTTTTTACATAATTTCTTTATTGAAGTACAAGTACAAAAAGTAGCATAGACAACACTATATTCTACACCTTGCATTTTTTTTTCTCTTAATATATCTCTCAGATCTTTTTATGTAAGAGGGTTTCTTTGTGTTGATATTTTGATAGCTGTAATATTCCATTGTTGGTTCATTAAAAGTTATTTAATCAATCCTCTGTTGTGGATATTTGTGATTTTTCAGTCTTTGGCTTTGAATTACATATATTTCATATATGTGCAGATACATCTATTAAATAAAGCCCCAGAAATGAGATTACTGGGTCAGAGGGCAAAGTGTGTTTGGTTAGGTATTGCCAAAATGTTCTCCCAGAAGGTATTCCCTTCCCTCCCTCTCTCTCTCTCTATATATATATATACACATATATACATATTTTTACATATATATACATATTTACACATATATTCCCATTACAGTGTTTGTGAGTGCCTTTTTCTATACTCTTGCCAATAGAATATGATTTAAAAATTTTGTCATTATGAAAGATAAAAATTGATATCTTGGTGGAATTTTTACCTTTCCATGTGTTTAAGGGTTGTTTGTATTTACTTTTGTGAACTGCTTATTTATAGCCTTTGTCTTTTAAAAAATTGGATTATTAGTCTTCTATTTAGTGGTTTCTAAGAGCTCCATATTATTTTGGGAGAGATGAGCCTTTTGTTATATACAGAAATATTTTTTCCTTAGTCATTTGTTTTTATTGCTCTTTCCTTTTTTATGTGCAGATGTTGAGTTTGTCAGACTTCAATTTTATATCTTCTGAATTTTGAGTCAACAGAAAGTTCTTTCTTACTCAAGGTTTAAAGGGGTTTACTCATGTTTTCTTTTAGTATTTCTTTTATCATATTTGAGTCTTGATTTACTTGGCATTTATCTTGGTGTATAATGTCACAATTATATGGTCGCAATTTTTATTTTTTTCCAGGTGGCTACCCAATTTTCCTAACATCATTCATTGAAGAGTCTACTTTGTTCCTATTGATAAGAAATGATTTCTTTATCATCTACTAAATTTCTGTAGTATTTGGGTCTACTTCTTGATTTTATGTTACATTCTATTAGTTTGTTCATAAGCTTGTAATACACTGACTTAAGATGATTAATTCTGGTATGGCTAGGAATTGTTTGCTGATGTTCTTTTCCAGAGTTTTCCTGGATATTTTTGTTTCTTTTTTCATATTAACTTCGAATCTATTTGTCTGATTCAAAAGAAAAACCTCTTAGTATTTTCATTGAGATTATGTTAAATTCATAAAATTTAATATTTTAATGATGTTGGAGAGAAATAAGTTGCAATTTTAGGTGGGGTGTCTAGGGGAGGCCTTACTAAAAATATCTCTAAGATATTTGACCTGAGCACTTAGAAGCATAAGTGGCCATTTTCCATGGAGAAAAGGAAGACCTAGAGGTTTGGGAAAGAGGGTATTGATGTCCTAGTTTGAAATTTGCTTCAGATGTCTATATGACATTCAGGAGGAGATGCTGAAGCAGTTGACTGAGAATCGGATTTAGGGGAGAGGTGTGAGCTGGAGGTATATATTTTGGGAGTCATTAGCCTACAGATGTGGTGTTTGAAGTCATGAGACTGGTATAAAGAATATAAGCAAAGAATAAATATAGGTAAAAACAAGAGTGTTGGTATACTCTAAAATTGAGAGGTAAGCGAGAAAGGGAGGATTCAGTAAGGAAACTAAGGAGTAGTCAGAGCATTAGGTGGAAAAACACGGTATTTTAGTAGCCAAAGTAGGAAGATATTTCAAAGAGGAGAGAGTATTGAATGCACCAAAAGGTCAAATATATCTAGGTTTATTTCTAGCTATTTTATCTCTTTGGTTGTTCTGATAACTAGGCTTTTCCTCTAGATCTTCTAATGATTGCCTATATGCATGAGTGCCATACATTTCTGTATATTAATTATATCATTACTGAATTCTTTGTAATTTTTATTGATTATTTTGGATTTTTGAGACTTGCAATTATTATAGCTATAAATTTATTTCATCTTTTCCAATTTTTATATCTTTACTTTTTTTTCTTGTCTAATTGCATTGGCTAGTATCTTTAAGTGTTTAAGAAGTTGGGTAACAGTGGATTTCTTTGTCTGTGTCCTGACTTTAGTAGGAATGCTTTTAGGGTTTTCCTTACTAAGCATGCCACTAACTTTATTGGTGAGTGTGTGTGTGTGTAAGACATAGTCTTTGATGATGATTTTTTTTTTTTTAGTTTTGTATATATATGTATTTTTTTTCAGTTTTTAAGAATTTGGACCAGGAATGGTGGCTCAAGCCTGTAATCCCAGCACTTTGGGAGGCCACTTTGGTGAGGGGGTTGCCTGAACTCATGGGTTCGAGAATAGGCTGGGCAACTTGGTGAGACCTCATCTTTGCAATAAATCAAAACCTTAGTTGGGCATGGTAGCGCACTCCTGTAGTTCCGGCTAATTGGAAGGCTGAGGTGGAAGGATTGCCTGAGCTCAGTATATTGACGCTGGGGTGGCCGTGAATGTGGCATTGCACTCCAGCCTGGGTGACGGAGTGAGACTCCAATGCATACAAACAACTAAAATGCAGCTGGGCTTGGTGGCTCATGCCTGTAATCTCAGCACTTTGGGAGGCTGAGGTGGGAAGATTGCTTGAGCCCAGGAGTTTGAGAACAGTCTGGGTAACATAGCAAGACCTCTTCTCTATCAAAAAAAAAAGATCTAAAATGCATGAGTTTTATTAAATGCTTTTTCAACGTCATTGAAAATGATCATATGATTTGTCTCCTTAGGTCAAGTGATATGATTTTTATTTTAATAAATTTTTAATATTGACCTATTGTTGCATTTCTAGCTAAAATATATTCACTTGATACAGCTACCGTGATGAGTTGTTGCTGCTGTTCTTGTTCTCCTTTCCATTCTGGTCATATTTTTTCACCTGTGCTGAATTCAGGGTTCTATTATTACTGTTGTATTCCCAGGGGATTTTAAAGACATGTACAAGTGAAAATTTGGGAATAGAGTATAGGAACTAAAAAAATTCCATTTATTAGAACTTTATTTTTTTAAAAACATACAAATAGGAATTTATTCTCAGTCTTTTCTTATGCTTCACAAGATGCATCTGAATACCAGTTATGGATTCCCTTTCTGGATTTGTCTATTTATAGTCAACAACTAGGTAAAAATTTTACCTTTGATCTCAGGTTATGTGGTTCTAAGGCTTTTAAATAGTCACTTGCAGTTATTCAGAGGTAGCAATGATTTTATGTTTTTTTCCCCTTGAAATAGTGGGATTTTCTATTTTTTACTTTGAATATGGCTAGGATGATTTATTGAATCTGAGAACAGCCAGCAGAATCTAACAGATTATATGCTGTATCTTCTGACTTTGTTCAGTGCTTTATTGTAACTTTCTCGTAATGAAACACCACTTTTTAATTCCTGGTAATATTAGCTACATCTTTCCTGTTTATTCCTTTACAGACTTACTGAACTCTTTGCTGTTCTTGAACAATCGGGCATGCTCTCTCAGGACCTTTCACCTTTGTTCCCTTTGCCTGGAATGCTCTTGAGTTAATATCTGCCTGGTTTTATTCTTCATTTTGTTCAAGTCTTTGGCTCAAATGTCACCTCAAAAGTCAATCCCATTCCAACTCTCCTATTTAAGATTACATTTCCACCTCTATATTTGTCATCTTTCTTTTCTTGTTCTGGTTTTTTATAACAATGGTCACTTTTTAATATTCTATATAATTTATTTATTCAATTTCTGTCCCTCCCCCTCCTTTAAAATGTAAATTCTTCAAAGGCTGGGCTTTTATTTTTTTCCTGATTTTTATGTATACAGTATATATATATTTTTCTGTGTGAGTGTAAAATCTTAAACTGATATATCTCCAGTGCCTAAAACAGTATCTTACTTATAGGAACTAAAATATTTATTGAATGAATGAATAAACTATCTTGAGGCAGTCTTACTTTAAAGAACTCACATTTAGGGTCAGAATAATTCCATTTGCTGTAGCAAAGAAATGCAAATGATGCTTTAATTTGTAAAATTAATTTATTTATGCTATTTTCTCCCTCCAGATTCATCGAAGCAAGAACAAATGGAAGTTCTATTTGAAAGAAGGTGTTATGTGTTTTGGAGGGAGAGACTATGTATTTGCAAAAGCCATTGGTGATGCAGAATGGTAAACCTTATGAGCTCAGTACATCAATTTTGTAAACATCAGTGGGACTATATTGCATATTGTGAAACTTATTTTTATTTTAAATATAGTCAAGCAGAGAGCTGCTAAATTTTGAGCTCATTATATGAAATTTAATAAAATTATAATTCAGATGCAGAACAGATATATAATTTATATTTATTTTGTTTTATGTTTTAACACAGTTTTTTAATCTCTTAATATCTATACTCTTATGAAGCATAGATGCATCAGATATGATGGAACATGAAGAAGTGTCACATTTCTTTATTCTTGAAGTAAAATTTAAATCAGATTCACATTTCCCTTCATGGTAAACTCAGTATCAGTTATTAGATTGGTGCCGATGGTCTTTTCACCTCTCACCAAACTATGTTTTAAGTAGTGGGATATTCAAGAAGGCTTCTCTAGGTTTTCAGTGTACACTAGTCACTAGTGACATGCTGATTGTGTAAGCCCAGATAGTACCTTGGAGGTGGATTCCTATACTATTATTTGGATATGAAAATTTGTGCTGAGGCCAGGATCCCTGTAGCTAAGATCAGCCTCTCTGGGCCTATTATTTGGTGAAGCTATCTTCATATTTCTGGGGAATTGTGAGGGAGTGGATTAGGTTCTTGTTCTACTTGAAATTTTACACTTCTATCTTTTTCTAATCATAGTGAGTTTTTTCTCTCTCCCTACTTTTTTCTATTTTTCTTGTGGTGGAAATCTCTCCTGCAAACTCTTTCCCCTTCAAAGCCAGTATCCCTCTCTTTTTCCTAACAGAATCCTCACATTGAGCATAGGCTTTCTAAAACAAAAGTCAAGAAGAGATGTTTAATTCAGAAAGCTTCTGCTTTGGAGATCTCATTTGAGACAAGGAAGGAAGTCTGAATAACTGTCTTGAAATCAAGGAGAGAAAACAAAACATAAAATAGTTAGGTCTCATTTTTCTATAGCAATAAAAATGAAGTATATTAATATCCCAATGAATGATTCTATAATCCTCTCTTCCTTAGTAGATTCTGGTCCTTCAAAGGAACATTTCCCTGATCACTCTGCTACTCTTAACAGGTGAGGTGAGTCTCTAAGCTTAGAAGCTCTAGTTTTAGCCCTGAGTGGTGTTTTTTCAGGATAGTAATTCTTGCACAAAAAGCAGTGCAGTGATGTGTAGGTCATGGTCTATGAAAACTCCCTAAGGATTAGATACCTGGATCTGACTGGTACAAGGGGTGAATTTCCTATTGCTTTTTGGAAATCAGTCCTACTTGGGGAGTTCAATTTAACACTTGTTCTCTCCTACCCTGGAAGTTATTGGTATATCTTTTCAAAATCTGTATCAATCTTTTCTGGGCCTTGAACAGCATGGATGGGGTATTGTCTTTGGTCTAAAGTTGGCAGCTGTATTATGGATTCAGGTAGTACTAGTGAATGTGCTGGCTAACTATATTCTCCTACTAGGCCCTCTTTATTCTTAGAGTAATTGTCCTTTTCCTTAATACCACTCTTATACCAGATCATTCTCTGGCTCTTGAGAACTCCCTGGAGCTATGGGTTCTTTTCAAGGATATTACCTACCATAAATGGCCATATCCTCTACATCGAAATAAAAAAGAGGGCACTTATTATTTGTGTCTATCTCTGAAACATATAATCCCTTCAGGGCTGAGAGTAGACTATAGTCTTTCTGTTTTCTTCTACCCAGTCCCACTCAGTCACTCTGCATTTGCCCTAGGCAAACCTTATTGCAAATTAAGGGCTGGGCTTATTGGTAAGGTGTACACACCTGGGAATTGGGGTTTGATGTGTTTGTTCAAGTGCCTGGTAATTATATTTATTTCTAAAATTCCGTTCCTCTTTTTTCTCTGTGAACTTTAAAATCTCACTTTGTTTTAGTGATCTTTTTTTAAATGGCATATTTCAAATACTGTTACTATATTGGCCCTCTTTATTTGTGTAGTACATTTTATCATTAGAGAAAAAAACTCATGGTTGTCTCATTTGTGTCTCTGCTTGCCCTCATGCCCGTCATCTTTATTTATTTACTTATAAAACAGGGGCCGGTCTCAGTGGCTCAGCCTCTTTGGGAGGCCAAGGCGAGAGGATTGCCTGAGCCTGCATTTGAGACCCACCTGGGCAACTTGGCGAGACCTCATCTCTACAATAAATCAAAACAAACGAACAAACAAACAAAAACCAAACTAGCCGGGCATGGTAGTGTGCACCTGTACTTCCGGCTAGTTGGAAAGCTGAGGCGGAAGGATCGCAGGAGCCCAGCAGTCGAGGCTGCGGTGGCAGGGAGTGTGCCACTACCCTCCAGCCTGGGTGACAGAGTGAGACTCCAACTCAAAAAACCAAAAAAATAAAAAATAAAACAGAGACAGAGTCTTGCTTTATTGCCTAGGTTGATCTCAAATTCCTGGCCTCCCAAAGTACTGCAATTACAGGCATGAGCACCTGTGTCCCACCCCCATATTTTTTAGAAATGCAAAATATCATTTTAAAAGTAGGCTTACACAAAACAATAATAATACTTTTCCTCCATGCTAATTAACTGAATATAGTTTTAGTGGTGATTACAGAAAGAACTAAGATCACCACATTATTTTGGATCTGGTACCTTTTTATTAATCTCAGATAATACTAGGGAAAAAAAAATCCTAGTTCTTGAAAAAGTTGTCTGGACCATTATTTTCAAGTTTTTTGGCCAGGGTCCACACTAAGAAGTATACGTTAACAACCCAGTTGTATATTTGCATGTACATTGATACACATAACATAAATTAAACAAAAGTTTCAGAAAATTGTGCTTGCTTTTAGCAAATGATGATCTTCTGTATTATCTATTTAATTCTGTTCTATTTTATTAAAAAAATTGGGGGTGTGTTCTACTAATTGATTTCATTACCCACCAGTAAAAAAAAGTGTGTGTGTGTGTGTGTGTGTGTGTGTGTGTGTGTGTGTGTATTATATATATATAAAACCTGTGTGGTAAAGATATAGTGAGACAATAGTCCATTTTAAAATAGAAAATCATTCCTTAAGCCCCATAAATCAGGGAGCTTGCCTGAGACTTGGCTTTGTTATCATATTACTTTTACTTTTAGAAATCTCTTCAGCATGTCCAAGATAAATATTTCCTATTGCATTTTATAACAAAGTACCCTAAAGTAAGTTTCTAAGTTCTTATAAAGACAGTATCTTGGCAAATGTCATTCTACACCCTTTTATAGATAGAAAAAGTGTTTTTGTAGAGGATACAGTTTGCTATGTCAAAGGACATTTGTGAGTGTCTTTTATCCTAATTCCTATACCAGTACATTTTGAGAATTTCTCCATATTTTTCTTATGTTTGCCTCTTACAGTGCTTTCTTGCATACTTTCTACCTCTCTCTGTATATCAGAAGATCTTGCTGAGTTTGCACAGGATTAGTCTTTGGGACTGACCAACTGACTTTGCTTGGTACATTTACGTGACCTATTTTATTCAATGTGCAGAACACTGCATTCATGGCTGTACTATGTGTAAGTAATCACCTGTACAGCTCAGATTTCTTAGAACAATGAGACAGTCTAATCGACACAGTTTTAGTCACTTAAATTGTGTAAGAAGATGAATAACTCAAGAGTAAATAACAACAGTTAATTGGGGGTAATGAGCAGAGAGGGAATTTAGTGGGAGATTTTGTTTTGACTCATGTTAGTAGGTTAATATTATCTAGGTTTTCATGTAAATACACTCTAAGCCAAGTGGGAACTTTGTGATTTATAAGTAGGAAGCTAAAAGTAGGAAGCCCAAGGTAATAACTCTTAGGGAAGAAAGAGATAAAAATATTGCTCATTTTGAGAAAAAGATTATTTCTAATTATGAACACATTTATTGAAATCTTTGTGACAGAGATTCTTTTTATTTTTAAAAAAATTTTTATTTTTTTGGAGACGAGGTCTCGCTAAGTTGCCCAGGCTAGTCTTGAACCCCTGGGCTCAGGTAATCCTCTTGCCTCTGCCTCCCAAAGTGCTGGGATTATAGGCATGAGGGACTGTGCCCAGCCGAGATTCTTAATTTACATGTGGACTTAATACATTTTGAGAAGACTAAAACCATACTATTTACATCAAATGTTATAAATGGAAGAAAAAAGTACTATTGACTTTTAAAATTATTTTGTAAATTTGGATGAGTTATTCCAGACTGATAACCTCTTTTAGCCACTTTTCAACCTATCAGTGATAATATCAAACATGGTAAAAAAAACAAAACAAAACAGGATAGAAATATCCTGTATTTTGTATCCTGTATTGAATATCTTTTTTATGATTTACATATGAGAGATTATACAGAATAAGAATACATATGTTTTCTATGGAATCGTCTCATACGGAAAATACTTCTTAACTAGGGCAGTTTTATATTTTAGTTATAAAAGTGAATCAGATTAAAAATTATTAATCATCTACCATTTGTAAGACTCTAGTATAAATATAGTGGGAGAAACAGAGAAGAGACAAAGGTATCACTAAACAATTCATATCATAGGTCAAAAAGAGGTATACTTATAAAAGATAATAGCCAGCAGTGTAGGGTAAAAGACAGATGTGTGATGCAGAGGACAGGTGCTGAAGAATTCCTAAGAGAGAGTCTGTTGTGAGTTATATATTTATTATTTATGCCCTAGTTTATTTCAGAGAAAGGGAGGTATCTTGACCATAGTGGATTAGGAAGGAAGTGGATTAAGGAGAGCTTGATAAAAAAGATAAACCTGGGCTTGTCTTGGTGGTTCATGCCTGCAATCCTAGCACTTTGGGAGGCTGATGTGGGAGGGTTGCTTGAGCCCAGGAGTTTAAGACCAGCTAGGCAACACTGTGAGACTCCCATTTCTACAAAAAAAAAACAAACATCTGGGCTTGGTGGTCCACGTTGGTAGTCCCAGTTACTTGGTAGGCTGAGGTGGGTAGATCCCTTCAGCCCAGGAGTTTGAATTTTGGTGAGCCATAATTGTGCCATTGCACTCCAGCCTGTGCAACAGAGTGTGATCCTGACTCACAAAAAGAGATAAACTTTAGTTGTGTTAGGACCTTAAAGGCTATAGGAAGGAGAGGTAAAGAATAGTGTATTCAGATGATAAGAATGACTTGATCACCAGAAAGGAGATTCACA